GGAGCAGGGAGCCCGATGCGGGGCTCGATCCCAGGACCCTGGGATCATGACCTGAGCCGAAGGCAGACGCTTAACCGACTGAGCCACCCAGGCGCCCCTGTGGTCAGGATTTTTAATCAGGATTCGAGCTCAGATGGATTGTGGCAGAAAGCCTGGAAGGGAGTGGAGATGTGCTCGTCAATCAGTTATCCTAAGGAGAGGAGTGTTTTGAGCACCTCCTGAGGTCTAGGAGGAGGAAGGAAGGTCCCGGAAGAGAGGTGGGGGGAGGGAGCCACTATAGTTCGGGCTCATGGTGCACCGAGTTTCTTTTCGTCTTGATTTCACGACTGGTTTTGATCCAGGCATCCCTCACCTCTGGTAGAACGAACTCTATTCAGCCTGCAGTTGACTTTCTGTCCCCAAACTCCCACCACAGCCAAAATACAGGACATTTCTGTGCCCCGAGTCGCCCCTGGTGCCCCTCCGCACCTCCCCTCTCTGCCCCAGAAGGTCAGGCGGGAGGTGTGTGACTGCACGTGAAGGTGGATGCAGGGGCGGGGTCCTCTTTCTCCTTCTTTGCTGGGAAACCTGCACGGGGCAGGTGGGGACATGGCGATGAGGTGGTTGGTCTGGCTGTGTGGCCTGAGGGAGTCACGTGGAGGGGAGCTGGAGAGAGCCTCGTGGGCCGCAGGGAGGCAGCGGTGACCGTCCCCAGCCAGGTGGGTCAGGGCGAGGAGGGAGCCTTCCCTTTCCCAGGGGCTCGTGTCCCCATGGGCTGTGGCCGCCACGGGAGGGAACCGGTCACGACTGTGACACAGGAGCCCACGGTCTGCCTGGGCGCGCGCCGCTCTGCAGCCTAGAAAGGGGACACAGAACTACCACCGCCAACCCCGCAGCCACGGAATGGGGGACTCAGCGGACCAGGAGCCGCGTCAGGAGCTAGGGAGGAGAGCACGGCGCCCAGGCGGTTCCCGAGGAGGGAGTGCAGTGTGTGGGGGGAAACTGCACAGAAAACATCCAGGCGAATTCCTTTCCTAAATTAAATTGCTAATTTCACCGAGGCGGTTGGTTTAGGATGCCAGTGTCTTCAAAGATTGGGAAGCACGGACCTGGGGGGCGGGACAGAGGTCAGGGTGCGTCCCGGAATGCTCTCTCCCATGCGATGCCGTACAGCCTATGTGAGCCTCTGTGCTCTCATCTGCAAAACGGGTTTTCCGATTCCTGCTTCGTAGCATTGCTTTGGGAATTCAGTGAGCTCCATCCCTGGGGCGTCACCCCCTCCTCCCCCACACATAGAGGCTTGGTCTTCAGAATGTCATCCCGTTTGCTGGAGGACATCTCCGCATCTCTGTTCTTCTGCGGACACAGCCTCCCCTGACAGCCGCCACCCTGGACGCGCGCGCCTCCTCGCATCCTGCTCCCTCCTTCTGCCCCTGTCCACCCATCGGATGCCTGAGATGTGCCCGCCACCCCGTCTCCTCTTGCTTCTGTCCTCGTGCCCCGGCCTGGTCTGTCCTGAGCGCGCAGTAGGGATTCTGCGGAGTCCTCCTCTTGCATCTGTGTTAGCAGCCCGCGGCTGGGGCGAGTGCGTGGTTCCCTCGGGCGGACAGGCCTTGGGCAGTTTCCGCTTGTCTCCGTTGCAGACTTGCAGGGAGGCCCCTGTTAGCTCTTCTGAAATGAGAACTGGCTTTGTAAGGGAACCTGACATGACAGTGGCAGGTGAGATCCGTGGTCAGGACGCGGGAGACAGAAAGGAGTCCAGGGAGCTAAATCAACCTGTCAGGTTTGGTCTCTGGTTGGAATGGACTTCTGTTGGAAGCGGGACCAGCAGGCGGCTGAACCAATCACAGATCAGCCTGGAAGGAGGCGGAGTGGGGATTCAGCCGACCCTTTGGCTGATTTTTGACGCACCTGTATGCACAGGTGGGGGTTGCTTAATCTGTTAATATTTTGGTCTCCCCCACTTTCTTGCATTCTTTTTGAAATGGTGGAGTGCCTGCTCCCTCCTTGTGGGAACGCCCCCTCTCAAGGTCAGGTGGGGGTGGGCGGGGCTGGGGCGGGGTCTGCGGCCTCCCGCACTGCTCTGCGGGTGTTGTCTTCCTTCTTGTTCTTTTCCACATGATAAACCGTCCTGCTGTGTCATGCAGCCCTAATCAGAGCTGTATGTACATTCGTTTGATTTTTAACTAGGCCCTGGCTGCCTCCTTTTGAAAGGAGCCCTGGGTTCTGGCCGGTGGAGGGGTGGAGGCAGAGAGAAGGGAAAGGTGACACGGAGGGGGAATGGCTGGGGGCAGGGGGCGCTGGGCCAGTGAAGGCTGTCGTCCCCGTGTCCCCAACCGAGAAGCTGTAGGCAGAGTAAGCCCCCGGCTGCACCTTCTAGAATTCTCCGTCCTTGCCCCCACACCCACCCCACAGGGGCCACTCTGTAGAGACTGGGTTTGGAGATGGGTTTGGAGAAGGTGCAGAGCTTCGAAGCCCGGAGCCTCCTTCCCTGGAGCGGCCGTGCCCTCCCTGACCCCCGGGGGTCGGTGGCGGCACCGGGGACCCGGCACCCCAGCCCGAGTCTGGGCTGCGCCTGGGCCCTGGAATAATACTTTCCACCTGTCTTCCAGACCCCGGCCACATGCCAAGGGGCCCTCTGCCATCACTAAACAAGGGTGCCCCTAAGGATTGAGCAAAGCCTCTGGGGGCTCCGCACAGCGGGGACGAGGCTCCTGTTAGTTTCCTGGGGAGGGTTCGGCAGGCGGCTGCGCGAGCCCCTGAGTGCAGCGTCCACGCCGGGTGTCGGGAAGCACAGCGGCGGCCCCACGCAGGGGAGCTGGTCCTCTCCCGCGTGCGGCGCAGGGACAGGCCGCCCGCAGGTGGGAAGACTCAGCTATGCGGGTTTGAGCAAGGGGAAGGCAGGCCGGTGCGGGAGACAGGAGTGGCAAACACACTGTGCTGTTGTTACGCACCCACTGCATGCCCCCCACATTGTCGCACACCTGGGCCAGCGCCCCGGGACTTTTGGGCGCCCCTTGGGCGTCTGGCCCGTCCGCCTGCCGACGGGCACGTTGGGCCACCTGTACGTTAAGCACGTGTGTGTTCTTGGGCGTGTTGGAGCCTCGGTGTGGGCGGCCTCGGGTACCTCTGCGGCGCGTGCAGACCAGCTGGCCACGTCAGGAGCCGTGGCTGTCGCGGGCCAGGCTCACGGTGGGGGCCCCGGGGCTGCGGGCGCTTCTGCCCTCACACCGTGATGCTCTGTGTTTGTTTCGGGCTGGTTGGTTGTTTTCAGTTCTTTGGCCCACTAAGGTAGAGGAACTTTCCAGAACAGCCCCCCAGTCTTTCTTGTGTGAGAACATGCTAGAACATTGGTTCTCTTAGTTACTCAGTGCCCACCAGGTACCAGGGTCTATTCCCTAGTTTGGGGGGTAACACGGGTGCTCAAGCCCCCAGCCCTCCCGGAGCCTGTGTTCCCATGGGGGACACAGTGTGTCTGGATGTGGGTGTGCCGAGGACGGAAGCCCCCCAGGAAGCCCTGCTGAGGAGGGTGGGGGAGCCAGGACAGAGAGCAGTGGAGGCAGGGAACAGCAAGAGCAAAGGCCCTGGGGCAGGCGCAGGTGTGTGACTGCTGGGGTCTGGGAGCAGCAAGGTCAGGCTGGAAATGAGGCCTGGAGGCAGTGCTGGGCTCCATCCACCGTGGACAGAGCTCTTCTTAGTGATTATGGCCTGTTGGCCACCGCACTAAAGATTGAGATAATCACTCTATTTCGTAAATGAGGAACCAGGGGCTGGAACAGTCTCAGTATGAGCTGAAGGCACGGAGCATAAATGCAGGATGGGAATGCAGGCCATTGCGTTCCTCCCACTGAAAAACCAGTCCGGTTCTTTCTTGTGATAGTGGATGGAAACCTTTGCTCAGAGTACTGGGTGGGGGCCAGACGCCCCTTCCCCTTCCCTCATCCTGTGGCCAACGCCCCCCCCTCAAGATCACAAGTGGGTGCGTCTGGGGGCACATCCCGTGCCTTTGGGAAGGTCCGAGCTCCTACAAAGGGATCGCAGGTTTGGGCAGGTCTGTCTTGGGGCTTCACGGATGTGGATCCTGTTCCTTCCCTGGAGATGTAACGTGAGTCCTGTAATCCGTGTGCATGGTGGGGAATTCAGGTGAGAGCCCATGCTGGAGTTTGTCTGCATCCCATCCCGGTGCTGCCCGTGGGAAGGCCCCTGAGTGGCCCCCCCTTCCGCCCCCGAGAGCTGCAGATCCGATGTCCTGAGTGCTGGGCCTTGCGCAGAGTGTTGGGTCTGCGGTAACCACGTAGCTTTAACACGTTTGTTATTCTCTTGCGACGGCTCCTGCTAACAAAAATAATGATAAGGGTACTCGTGACTCCCCAGGCAAGGGGATTTCCTGCCCTTCACCACATCGTGCAGACCCTTCCTCGTGGTGCTGGCCAAGGGGTTCTAACTCAGGGCGATTAATGGGCACTTTTGCCTAGTGTCCCATTTTAAATTAGAAGAACTTCTGCACCACTCCTTCCTGGCTTCCTTTTTTGTCGTTTGAGTCATGGTGTCCGTGCGTTTAATTGGGATTTAGGGAGGACTTGGAAGTCACAGTTGCGGCGGCATGAGATGCACGTCTAGAATGCACGGATGCCCGCCTGGCTCTGCTCCGAGCCCTCCGGCACCGTCCTGGTGGGGTCTGATTCGCACAGAACAGAGCCCGGGCCGAGAGCCGCCCCTGGCCTTGCGCTCTGCTGATGGAGGGAAGGCGTGTGCTCGGTGGGGCTTACGGAGGTGGGCACCTCCTGGTGCCGGGGGCGGGGTGTCTCCCACAGAAGCCGAGTTGAACGCATGCTTTTTCAGGCCCCTCATCTGGGAGCCGTGGGATCCGGGGTCTCTGCGGGGTCCTCTGGCGTGGATCCCACAGAGCCGCCTTTCCGCTGGTGCCCAGGGTCCAACAGGCCTGGGCTGTGGTCCCACCTCCGCCTCCCAGCAGGTTCCTGACCTCGGCCAGTTTCAGATTCTCGTGGAGCATCAGCTCTGTACGTTTGAGAAAGGAACACGTTTGTTCGCTAGACAGGCTGTCCTGCGATAATCAGAGCGAGCTGATGCTTGCCCTCTAGCAGGTGCTCAGGAATGCAGCTAGCGTCGCCCTGATGACCCTGAGTCTGAGTGCAGCCCCTGCCCGTCGAGCTCCCACCACTGGGTGTCGTTCTCGGGCGCTTGATGTATTTACGGGATCTTGTGGGTCATCCCCCCACCCCGCTCTGCTTTAGATGCGGGTCGATGGGGTTGCACACTGCCTTTGTCCTGCTTCTCCTGGGCACAGCTGAAACAGGAAGGAAGCCCGGGGTCATGCGTGCCATCCACACAAGAGTCCCCGATACCCCGCAGGTCTTGGTCCTGTGTCGTCACCCCACCATTTCCAAAACCGCTGGGAGCCGCTGACCATGCTGGAGCCCGGAGCCTGAGTCCAGGGCAGGTTCCTCCGGAGGCCCAGTCGCCGCGGGCACACAGTGGCTCCCAGGTGCCCAAAGAGCGTGGGCGCCGCCCTCGGCCGCCCCCTCGTTGCACTCTGCCGTGTCACCGTGGGAAACCACATCTTCCCGCCCCCACTCGCGGCCTGGCTCCTCTTTCCTGACTGTCCTGGCGGGCGGAGGCCAGGGCACAAAGATGTTCCCGGTGTCCTGGGTCCTGCTGTGCCTTCATCGGGCCTTCTCAGTGGAGGGACGCTGCGCTGTCGAGAAGTCTGGAAGCCTGGAGATGGGTTTCTGCCTCTTTCCCCGTGAGAGTCAGGGCCCTGCCCTGTCTACTGCACCCCACGCCCCGCTTCTTCACTCCTGGGGGTTTTGGAGCTCAGCTGTGCTCAGCATTCACGCAAATGACGAAATGAACTCTGAACCCTCAGGGCAAGATGACTCCCCAGTGCAGAGAATCCAGAAGGTTCTCTAAGTGATGGTTCTCTTTGCACAAAAAGGTAGAAAGGGTCCTGGGTCCTGAAGCTATTGGACTATCTGAATTGCTTTTGCTGATGCTCGCGTTGCCGGGGCACAGATAGACTTTTGGGGTCATAGAGAAGTACTCGTTCCGATTATGGTGAGCTGTCTGTTAGGAGTTCATTTGTTGGGGCAGATGCACACACATCTCCCGAGAGCCCGAAGCCCCCTTTTCCACCCTTGACTTACCGCCCGTCTCCCGTTTTTTCCCCCAGTGCTGCACACGCAGGGCCCCGTCGATGGCAGTCTTTATGCCAAGGTGAGGAAGAAGAGCGCCTCGGATCCCGGCGTCCCCGGAGGGCCCCCTGCTGTCCCCGCCGCCGGCAGCCCAGACCACGGCGACCACACCCTGTCGGTCAGCAGCGACTCCGGCCACTCCACCGCCTCTGTCAGGACCGACAGGACCGAGGAGCACCTTGCCCTGGGGCCGAGGCGGGGCCTGAGCCCCCAGGAGAAGGCCGAGCTGGACCAGCTGCTCAGCGGCTTTGGCCTGGAAGAGTCTGGAAGCCCCATCAAGGATATGACCGATGCTCCCAGCAAGTACAGCGGGACACGCCACGTCGTACCTGCTCAGGTGCACGTGAACGGGGACGCCACGCTCAAGGACCGGGAGACGGACATCCTGGACGACGAGATGCCCGGCCATGACCTGCACAGTGTGGACAGCATCGGAACCCTGTCCTCCTCGGAGGGCCACCAGTCGGCCCACCTGGGCCCCTTCACCTGCCACCAGAGCAGCCAGAACTCCCTCCTGTCGGACGGGTTTGGCAGCAACCCCAGCGAAGATGCCCACGGCAGCCTCGCCCCTGACCTGAGCCTCGGCGTGGACCCCCCCCTGTATGAGCGGGAGCGGGCGTTCGGGATCCGAGACTCCAAGCATCCGCAGCCGGTGCTCCGGAGGCCCTCTGTGTCCTCCCAGACGCAGGCCTACGGACAGAGCGGCTACTCCACGCAGACCTGGGTGCACCAGCAGCAGATGGTGGCCGCCCACCAGTATAGCTTCGCTCCCGATGCCGAGGCCAGGCTCGCCGGCCGCGGCCCGGAGGACGGCTCCGGCCTGGGGCAGGCCCAGCCCAGGGTTCCGGTCACCCCCACCCGGGGGGTGGGCGGCAGAGTGGCCCTCCAGAGGGGCATGGGCCCCGCGCCCCCTGTCCCTGATGCGCAGCGGCCCCCTCCCGGCAAAGCGTTCAAGCCCAGATTTCCAGACGTCAGAGTCGTGAACGGGACTGGACCGGAGCCGAGCGCGGACCCCTCCCCAGGCTCACCCACCCTGGACATCGACCAGTCCATTGAGCAGCTCAACAGGCTCATCTTGGAGCTGGACCCTACTTTTGAGCCCATCCCCACCCACATGAACACGCCGGGCAGCCAGGCCAACGGCCCCACGCCCCCCGACAGCGTGGGCGGCAGGCTGCGGGCGAGCGGCCTGCAGGACGCGGGAGAGGGCCCGGGCAGGGCCTCCGTGCGGCAAGGTGAGTGGGAGTCCCACGGGATGCACACTTGTCTGCCTCTGTGTCTTACGGGACGGGGCCTTGCAGAGGAGTGCCGGGCTCGTCCTGGGTCTGGGGGAGGGCAGCAGAGGCGATAGGGGGGCCCCTGGGCACAGCCTTGTGGGGACAGGTCAGCAGCTGTGCACCTAGCTGGCTTTGCAGGGAGTGGGGGGCTGCTCATGGGTCCGGCAGGCCCCAGAGGGTGGAAGACTCAGGAGTGGGGAAGGATGGCGCGGATGAGGGAATCCCAACATGGGTCCCCACATTCATGAAGCCAGACACCCGGAGGGCACTGCTTGTCCATTACAGCCGCCCCAGCTGGCCCTGGTCCCCACACCACACGTTCCAGGGATAAGGGCCTTGCAGACCTCCTGAGTCAGCACGCCCCCACCGCTGCAGGGGTGCACTGAGCTCCCCACAGGGACTGTGCCCCTCATGTTGGGGTGGGGTCTGTGACTTGCTGTCCGTGTCGGGGAGGCATAAAGCTGTGGGGCCCCAGAGAGCTGGCCAGGTGTGCGTGGGGGCCAGCCAGCAGGCAGAGGGTGCTGGAACGGAGGGAGGGGGTCAGGGGCAGGGAACAGTATGTGAAGGCTGCGTGGAGAAGGTGCTTCCACACGCAGAAGATGGAGCCCGGCGGGCATCCAAGCCGGGGAGCCATGGATGTCTGGGGAGGCTGAGGGGGCTGCGTTCTGGACACCTGTCCGCTCTTAGGCAGGGGCCTGGACCCAGAGGCCGCCTAAAGGCTGCGAGCATGGTGTCCACGTGAGGCCAGGCTCTCCTGCGTTGGAATGTCAGCAGGCTCCCTGGGTCCCTGTAGGAGTGAAGACAGGAGGAGTCACGAAGGAGGGCGCGCTGTCACCTCCCTGTCCTTCTGCGTCTGACCCTGAGTGCCGCGCATCATGCTGAGCCCGTAACCCTGACGGACGGATTAACATTCACTGGCGGGGTTCTCTGGACCCCTTTCATCTCCTTAAGGCCCCTTGGCTGCAGGGACAGAGGCCCGTCTTAGAGTTGAGTTTTTGGAGGTGTCAGTAGATGAAGTGACCCGCCCAAGGTCACACGGGTCACATACAGTAGAGCAGAAAGAGGTCTCTGGTCTGCACCCAGACACCCTGGCCGCTGCTGGTAGGAGGCCTGCTCCCGAGCAGCCATGAGCCGACTCTGAGCGAGTGGCTCCCGGCGTTGGGACAGGGGTGGAGCGTGGCATGCGGCTCCAAAGTGAGGCTACGGCTTTCGTGAGCACCCAGCGGGGAAGGGCAGCCTGCCTGAGGCTTGCCCTGCATCGGCCACAAAGGAGCTTGACAGTGTAGAGGTGTGCTCACGACAGCCCATGAGCAGGCTTTGCCTCTCGTTCTGGGACATCTTGTCTTGATAACGGTCCCTTCAAAAGAAGGCTCATGTCTGTAGCTCTCAGACATTCAGATTGAGGCGAAAGGGAACTCTACCTCCCTGGTAGGTATAGAGAATACTGGAACCCCTTTGGTTTTTTGTTTTTTTTTTTTTTCAAGATTTTATTTATTTACGTATATGTATGTGTGTACGTATGTATGAACGAATGAATGACCTTGGGGAGAGAGAGAGCATGCATGTGCAGGGGAGGGGCAGAGGGAGAGAGAGAATCTCAAGCAGACTCCATGCTGAGGGGAGCCCCAAGCAGGGCTCGATCCCAGGACCCTGAGATCATGACCAGAGCTGAGATCAAGAGTCGGACACTTAATGGACTGAGCCACCCAGGGGTCCCAGGACCCGTTTGATTTTTAAACTTAAATGTCAGTATTTGTACTTCTCAGTTGGAAAAGGCTAGATCAGCCAGCAACAGAAAAAAAAAATCACTAGGTGGCGGGGGAGGTCCCAACAGGGTAGCTAACCAATTGGATTTGAGTCCTGGAACATTCCAGGTTTGGGGATGCAAGAAACCTGTGCTTTGAAGAACTTCCAGATCCCGAGCCTTGATGGGGAGGCCAGGGCTGCTGAGCTGAGCCACATGCGGCCAAGCAGGAGGGACCGGCGAGTCTGAAAGGCCCCATGGCATGCCCAGCTTGGTGGCCATCACCCCACACGTGCATCATGTCTGTGTCCCTGAGGCTTGGCCCCAAGGACACATGTCTGACCAGAGCCACCTTGAGTCTTGCTCAGACAGGAAAGGGGTGGGAAAGTTCCAAGGTGCTGTATCTTCCAGCAAGACCCTGCCTGGTCTGCCTTGTGTCTCAGGTGCACTCCTCGCTGTAAGGAATACCTGGGTGCAGGGACCTCAGCATCCAGAGGTGAGTAGGATCCCTCACTCTTTGTAGAATGTGTACCGATCGTAAGAAAGACCACCAGTCACCTAGTGGTAGGAAGTTGGGAGTGGCATTCCCCGGAGCTCCTTCTGGGGACTGCTGTGTGTCCTTACAGCTCATGAGTGGCTGCACACCCACCGTGGGTCTGGTTATTTCTGAGAGGAAGATTGTATGGGAAAGCTAAGCATTTCCTGAGAAAGTCTGCTTGATACCAGCACTGTAGTCATGATGGTGATGGTGATGATGGTGATGGTGGTGATGGTGATGATGGTGGTGATGAAGGTGATGATGGTGATGGTGATGGTGAAGATGATGGTGATGGTGATGGTGAAGATGATGGTGATGAAGGTGATGATGGTGGTGATGGTGAAGATGATGATGGTGATGATGATGATGATGATGTCATGATGATGGTGATGGTGATGATGGAGTTGATGGTGGTGGTGATGATGATGAGGGTGGTGAAGATGATGGTGATGAAGGTGATGATGGTGATGATGATGGTGATGGTGATGATGATGATGATGATGTCATGATGATGGTGATGGTGGTGATGATGATGGTGGTGAAGATGATGATGGTGATGATGATGATGATGTCATGATGATGGTGATG